GGATAACGGTAGACACTGCTAGATCTAAACTGGCGACCACAGATCTGCACACCGATTTAATGACTTCATGCCGTCCCCACAGTTTCGCTCTAATAATTCAACCGCGGCAAAGTCAGATGGCATTAGGAGTGCCAACTGGCTGCAGATAATGGGACAAGCCTCAGATGTTAAGGTTGGCTGCGAAATCGCAGGAGACCTGAAGAACAAGCAGTGGCAGACAGTATGACGGCTGAGCTACGAGAAGGTGGTGATGTAACTACTGGCAAACTTGCCTTTAAAAAACGCTTATGCCAGAGAAGAAAGAAGCAGAAACGTCTGCTTACTGAAGCGGATAAAAGACGAAAATACAGATGGAAATGTGCTGATATACGAGAAAAATATTCGCAACTGATGGCCAGTAGACTCCCAAACGTTGCTAAACTTCCCACAAACGCCTCGGAATAGATCCCACAAAACCAGAGATTAATCGAAAAGAAGACACCCTGAGGAAGAAGCTTCAGATCGAAGACTCGTAGATCAGACAGAGTTCCTTGGCACCTGGGCAGAAAGGTGCGGTTTGGCTCTGTACACTGCTTAATAAAATCGCTGAATCATGGAAGAAGAATATATTGATGCCATTATAGAAAATGAAAAGGACATCTGGCCTGCGAAAATATCTAAGAATAAAAGTGCAGGACAAAAGATTGCTAAAGTAGGTCCAAATTAACTGCAAACTAATTTGGCTTTATGCCCAGCCATCCCTGCTTTCTCATGGTGTTTCCTTATAATCGAATTCTGAGGTTGACAATTTGATGGGGCATTAGAAAAAAACCTGATGCCCGGAAAATATATTAGGCATACTACAAACATATGTTAATGAAAGACTGACACCGATGGCTCAATGTATATGCAGAGAAAGACAAGAATTTGTTGTGCGTGCAAGAGCGCATCAAGATTCAGCACTGAGCTCAGTTCGGTTCTCGATTGTGACAGACGCGATAAATAAAGATCTGCAGGAAGCAGCCTCATCGCGCATGTTATGCATATGACGTAGTGAACGCTAAGAAGCAGCAAAATCAAAAGCCCATACGTGGAGAAGAGTCAATTAGAAACACGGCTCAGCAAAAGCACGGCAGAATACACAGAGGAAAAGAGAGGGAAAACAACGAATCGAGGAAGCAGCAAGGAGCATGTTGTCTCGAACCCATGTTCTCTTGGTTTCTTGGTTCTGTCTTTCGAGACAATGTGAAAATCAGCAGTGAAGACGAAATCAGTCGCAAAAGCGTTGAGGATAAAATGGATAAAGGTTCATGACGTACCGTGAGATAAAAAGATGCCCATCAAACTACGGAGAAAGATCACAGAACGACAGTAAGACCCGCACTTCGATACAGAGCGGAATGTTAGGTTACCCTTAAGAGACCCGAGTAACAGTTGAACTCGATGTGTGCTGTTAGGAAAAGGGAACATATCCAGACAACCTTCATAAGAAGCACTTCAGGCGCTTCAACAATTTCAGAGAAACTTATCGAAAGAAAGCTCTGTTGGCTCGGCCACTTGAAAAGAACATCCCACGTGTGCACTGGAATTCTGGCCAATGTACGAATACTGCCAGGAAAGAAAAAAGAAACAATAAATACAACTCCAATGAATGATCAAAGACACAAAAACATAGAGTTAGCCGTACCTGAAAATCAGACTCTAAAGGAGATACGCAAAGAAAAATAAAAATATAAAACTCGTTTGACAAAAATTCTGAGTGCTCACAGAGCATTTCATTTTTCATCATATAGTTGATACAGACAGACATCTACCATTGTACAGATTCAAACTCGAGGCCACGGAAATGCGCACTGACACAGACCACTGGTCTGCGCCTAAACGACACAGACCGAAACCTTGGCAGCAGCATCGAAGTGTTAACCATGGAAAATGCCGTACGCCGTTATTCTTCCTTCCTCCGTTCACTCAATTAGTCAGTAGTTCAGTCAACACTTGCAAACGTATGTAAATCTTACCAAGAGTGAATGGTACGTAACTGTAGAAAGTAGGTAAGAGGATGAACTACGACTGTACGGCGGACAACCGTAAAGTAGAAGGAGTGCTCCAGCTATAGGGGCATTACGTTATTCAGCCTCCCAGGTAAAGTCTACGCAAAGTTGCTAGAAAGGAGATGCCGCGAAATAACCGATTCTAACATACAAGAAGAGCAATGTGGCTTTCGACCCGGTCGAAGCACCTCTGACCATATATTTGCCCTGTGTTAGATTGTTAAAAAAATCGTGGGAGTACGTCCATCCAGATTACATGTGCTTTGTTGAGCTAGAAAAAGCCCATAACCGAATCCCACGCAACAGTCCCTGGTCAAGCCTGCGAGCATACGACATAAATGGCCAGCTGTTAACGGCCATTCAATCACTGTATTTTGATAGCAGGTGCTGCGTCAGAGTAAATGGCGTTAAGTCGAAACCATTCAGTGTTCGCACCGGTCTCCGCCAAGGATGCGTCCTGTCCCCTATCCTGTTTGTGTTGTACATGGATAGAATAGTCAGGCGCTGCCAAG